AGGCGGAGTGGAGGGAGAGAGCGAGAGCAAGGCAGTGGTAGTCGTTGTGCAGGTGGACCAGGTTGTCCAGCTGGTGCATGGCGTACCTGCGGACAAGGGTGACAAGTACAGCGACCTTGTCCTCGAGAGAGGGTGTGGGTGTGGACATGGATATATATATAGAGAGAGGATATGAAGAGGAGGGGTGGGTGAGGTGGGGGGTGGGTGGGTGGGGTGGGGGTGGGGGTGGAGTGGTGGCTGGCCACGAGGTGTGCGCGGGGGGTTTCGGGCGAAGGGGGGAATGGAACGGACGAACGAACGAACGAACGATTAATGGATGGCACGAACGAATGAACGAATGAACGAACGAACGAACGATTAATGGATGGCACGAACGAATGAACGGACGAACGAACGAATGAACGATTAATGGATGGCACGAACGAATGAACGAACGAATGAACGAATGAACGATTAATGGATGGCACGAACGAATGAACGAACGAATGAACGAGCGAACGAATGAATGAACGAATGAACGATTAATGGATGGCACGAACGAATGAACGAATGAACGAACGAATGAACGATTAATGGATGGCACGAACGAATGAACGAATGAACGAACGAACGAACGATTAATGGATGGCACGAACGAATGAACGAATGAACGAACGAACGAACGATTAATGGATGGCACGAACGAATGAACGAATGAACGAACGAATGAACGAATGAACGATTAATGGATGGATCGAACGAATGAACGAACGAATGAACGAATGAACGAACGAATGAACGAATGAACGATTAATGGATGGCACGAACGAATGAACGAATGAACGAACGAATGAACGAATGAACGATTAATGGATGGCACGAACGAATGAACGAGCGAACGAACAATTAATGGATGGTACGAACGGGCGACGATGAACTGCTGGACATGGATCGGTCACGAGTCCGCATTTGGCCCATGTTGACGTTCGTGCGAGCGCGAGACAAGAGATGGCTGGCGACCACGGTCAACCCACGCGTCGCCGGCTCCTTCACCGCCGCCACACACCACAACCCACGCTACCCTCACACTTGCTGCGCGGAACGGGTGCGAGTGTCTCCGGCTGGCCGAGCACGCACTTGCGACGTCTGCATCGACGCGGTATGCGATGCACACACTGGCGTGGGGCGACGATGATGTACTTTGTGTCATGTCTCGACGATGAGCACGCACGGCCTGCTGCTGCTGGAGATGGCCCGGGACAACGTGGGCCAGTGGCTCGACGGCGGGCCGCTCTTCGGCGCCATCCACTCGGACGGCATTCTCCTCAGCAACGACTCGGGGCGAGTGTGACCTCGGCATCTTGGAGGACAACTTGCCGCGCTTGCTTGTGCACCGCTTTGTTTTTCTGGGAAGAGTGCGGAGACATCCATCATCCACCGCTTCGAAAACAACTGGGTTGGGGGCTGGGCGCCCTCGATACGCTGCTCCACCCGCATACCAGGGTGAGGAACGAAAGTATGGTTGATCGATGGAATGGTATCGAGGCATGCATGCAGGCAAGGAGGGTGTGTAGTTGGGCAAAAAGAAGAAAGAATGCGTTACTCGGTATTCCCGTGTGGTCCCCCACCACAGTACTAACCAAGCCTCATGCTGCTTGACTTCCGAGAGCGAGACGGGATCGGGTATTTTCAGCATAGGATGAACGCATTCGATGTAAGAGAGTGTGTGTGGTAGTCATGTGGTGGAGGACACAAATGGGGCCGCTCGTTAAATGGGTTATCGCACGCTACACCGACAGCACAGACATATCCACATCCATCTTCATATCCAAACCTCACCTACACAATCACCGTCATACATCAGGCATAGCTACCGGTACGGATGTGTGTCACACAGCCTCCTCGCGCTGCAGAGGTCACCGAGTCTCCACATTCCATCTCTATCTGCAATGATCATCCTTGTACAGACATCCCAGAGCCAGAACAGAAAGCTCATCTCCTTGTACCCGTCCGCCCTCTCTCCCCTCCCCTCCCCTCCCCTCCCTCCCCTCCCTCCCCTCCCTCCCCTCTCTCCCCTCCCCTCCCCTCCCTCTCACGCTCTCCCCTCATCGCACTTGACTCTCATTTCGATCATGGCAGCAACACAAACAGACTCGGAGCGCGAGATGCTTGCCACCGCCCAAGTACGCCACCATGCCGGAGCACAGCCACCTCCATCCCCACCCACCCCATCCACATACCCATGTACATACAACCACACCCACACCCATGTGACCTGCTGCATCCCCATACCCCCCCCCCCTCCCCTCCTCCTCCCCCTCCCCCTCCTCCTCCTCGTCTTCTCTTTGGTGACAGGTGCTCCCTTTTCGCAGGAAGCCCGCGAGTCCTTGCATGACCTCCCCTCCCATGGTTGGTGTCAGGGGGGGGCTAGGGGAGGGGAGGGGGGGGGTATACATGATGTGTATTGCAGTATATGTATATACACATGTGTGTGTATGTGTGTGTGTGTGTGTGTGTATGTTTTGTGGTGGCTGTATCCCTGTACCTGTCTCTGTCCCCGTGCCCAACCGTGCCTCTTAATCGTGCCGCACTCTCTCCCTCTCTCGCTAGACTCGGCCCTGTCTGGCTACGTGCCTGAGATCGGCCCTGTCTGGCTACGTGCCTGAGATCGGCCCTGTCTGGCTACGTGCCTGAGATCGGCCCTGTCTGGCTACGTTCCTGAGATCGGCCCTGTCTGGCTACGTGCCTGAGATCGGCCCTGTCTGGCTACGTGCCTGAGATCGGCCCTGTCTGGCTACCTGCTTGAGATCGGCCCTGTCTGGCTACGTTCCTGAGATCGGCCCTGTCTGGCTACGTGCCTGAGATCGGCCCTGTCTGGCTACGTGCCTGAGATCGGCCCTGTCTGGCTACGTGCCTGAGATCGGCCCTGTCTGGCTACCTGCTTGAGATCGGCCCTGTCTGGCTACCTGCTTGAGATTGACCTGGTCTGGCTACCTACCTGAGATCGGCCCTGTCTGGCTACCTACCTGAGATCGGCCCTGTCTGGCTACCTGCTTGAGATCGGCCCTGTCTGGCTACCTGTCTGAGATTGACCTGGTCTGCATCCGTGCTTGATGTCGACCCTGCGTCTGTCCCGGACTCGGCCCTGTCTGCCTGCGCTCAGACCTGAGATCGACACTGCCTGAATCCGTACCCGACTCGGCCCGGCGTGCAAACAAAGCTCGGCCGGTCCCGCGTACCTGACTCACTCCATCCCCCCACACCCCCACCCCCCACTCCCTATTCTGCAGGATCTCGACATGGTGGTCGACCTGAGCAAGGGCGAGCTGTTCTGCGATCCGAACTTTTCGCCCGGGGAAGACATCCTGTACGACCTCTCCGAGTCGACCATCATTCCCGAGGGCGTCGCTCGCATCGACAAGTGGCTCCGCCTCTCGGAGATCCACCCCAACCCACAGTTGTTTGTCGACGGCATTATGGCCGGGGACATTGTTCAGGGTGGCCTCGCCGACTGCTGGTTCCTCGGCGCTCTCATGTGCATCGGTACCCGCATGGACCTGCTGAAGCGCATCTTCCAGTACTGCGCCCCGCACCGCGGCGAGTACCGCATGCGCTTCTTTGTCAACGGCGCATGGAAGGACGTGGTCATCGACGACCGCCTCCCCTGCGACGCAAAGGGCAAGCCCGTCTTCTCCCGTTGCGCCGACGCGAACGAGTTCTGGGTCTCGCTCATCGAAAAGGCCTATGCCAAGGTTCACGGCACTTTCCAGACCCTTGAGCGTGGCCTCATGCGCGACGCTCTCGTCGACCTCACCGGCGGCGTCTCGGACAAGATCGAGGTCGGCACGCCGGGCTCCACCGTCGCCAACGAGCTGTGGGATACCCTTGTCAAGGATCCAGCCTCGTACTCGCGCCTCATGGGCTGCGTCGCCTTTGGCGACGGCAACGGCGAGGGCGAGCTCGACAACACCGGCCTGCTCAAATTCCACGCGTACGGCATCATGCGCACCGCAGTCTATAACGGCGAGCGCCTCATCCACCTCCGCAACCCGTGGGGTTCTGTCGAGTGGAACGGCGCTTGGTCCGACGGTGCTCCGCAGTGGTCCGTCGACGCAAAGGTTGCTCTCGACCAGACCGATGCCGATGACGGCCTCTTCTGGATGTCGTTTGACGACTTTTGCTCCCACTTTGACGAGATCGACATCGTCAAGGTCTTTCCTGAAGCAAAGTGGACCACCCAGGTCCAGGTTGGCAAGTGGGAGGGTGAGTCGGCCGCCGGCCGATTCCACTACGCCCCGGCGCCGAACCCGCAGTTCCTCCTCGACGTCGAGCAGCGCGGCGTTGCCGTTGTCGCCCTCCGCCAAAAAGAGGCCCGCTTCACCGGTGACGACAAGCTGGAAAACGTCCACATCGGCATGCACCTCATGAAGGCGCCCACAGGCGCTCGCATCATCCACTTTCATGAGGACGAGTGCATCATCAACACCGATCCTTGGATCGACGCCCGCGAAATCGCAAAGTTCCTCGTCCTCGAAAAGGGCAAGTACATCCTCGCCGCCTCTACCTTTGCTCCGGGCGTCGAGTCCGACTACATGGTCCGCGTCCTTCTCAATCACTCCAAGTTCTCGCTCACCCCGGCGCCGTCGATGGAAGGCTCGTACGTCCACCTCTCGGCATCCGGCTCCTGGGCTGGCGCCTCCGCCGCCGGCTGCGCCAACACCTGGCACTGGATCGACAACCCGCAGTACGTCCTTGAGCTGCCCGCCTCGCTCCAGCTCTCCATCACCCTCACCCAGCACGCCGCGCCAGAGTCGCGGAGCCATGTCAACATCTACCTCCTGCCTTCGCAGGACTCGGCAGACTACACCTTCAACATGACCCCGGTCCTCGAGCCTGGTGCCTGGACAGACGAGGGCACCATCTGCCTCCGCGGCCGCCTCGACGCCGGCCGCTACATCATCGTGCCCACAACTTTCCAGCCGGACACCGCAGGCTCCTTCACCCTCGACGTCTACGCCTACCGCTCCGAGCTCCCCTCGCCCGCAGGCTTTGCCATCTCGCTTGGCACGGGCAACACCGGGTACACCCAGATCGACGGCGCGTGGGCCCCGGGTTGCGCCGGCGGCTGCAACAACTTTGAGTCGTGGACGTCAAACCCCAAGTACAACCTCACCGTCGGTGCCGGCGCAGGCGACTCGGTCTACGTCACCATTCTCCTCGCCCAGGACTCGCCAGCCTCGGGCCTCGCCGTCGGCTTCCTCATCACCGGCCAGGGTGAGGACGAGATCCTCGGCCAGACCGGCAACTGGTCGCGCGGCCTCTTCAACACCGCCTCGTTCTTCCTCTCGCCGGGCGTGTACACCATCTACCCCACCACCTTTAACCCCGAAGAGTACTCCGGCTTTGCCCTCCGCGCATATGCCGACCCCGCCGCCGCAGTCACCCTCGTCCGGGCCTAGCGGCTCATCCTCAACCGCCTTTACTACATAAACAGTCCGCCTGTCGCCTCAATAACCGCACCTGTCACGTACCGCGCATCGCGCGAAGCCAGAAACTCGACCACCGCCGCAATGTCGTCCGCCTCGCCGACCTCGCCTAGCGGAATCTGCTGCCGCATCATGGCCATGACCTTGTCCGGCACAGCAGCCGTCATCGGGGTGGCGATAAAGCCCGGCGCCACTGCGTTGACGCGGATGCCTGACGGCGCAAGCTCCTTGGCCAGCGCCTTGGTCATGCCCACCACGCCGGCCTTGGACGCGCAGTACGCCGTCTGGCCCACGTTCCCGTGCAGCGCCACAATCGACGACATGTTGACGATGGCCTGCTCGCCCGCCCACTCGCCCTCACTCGCTTCCTTCAGCCGCACCATCTCCGCGCCGCCGCCTGCGCTACCAGAAACGATCCCCGCAAATTGATCTCCATCACCGCGTCCCACGTCGCGCTCTCCACCTTGAGCGCCATGGCATCGCGGGTCACGCCCGCTGAGTTGACCACCACGTCCAGCGCTCCCACGCTCCGCTCCGGATCGCACTCGGCCACCCAGGCATGGACCTCGCCCATCGCCCGCGCCACATCCTCCGCATCGCCCACGTTGCAGCCAAAGAACGCCCCGCCGGCAGGCACCACCCCTGCCTTCTCCTCGGTCTCGTCGCGGTTGGGCAAGTCGGCCACCGCCACCGAGTAGCCCTTCTCCGCCAGCCGCCGCACCACAGCTGCGCCAATGCCCTGCCGTCCTCCCGTCACAAGTGCAAACCGTCCTGCGCTCGCCATCTTCTCTTGTCTCTTCTTTCTCGCTCAAGAGCCGTGTGTCTCGTGCCCCTCGACCACCGCCTCTCGTCCACCACCATCGGCTGAGCACGCCTAGGACACATAAAATATTTTCCTCTACACCCCCCACCCCCCACCCCCCACCCCCCCCTCACCCACCCCACGCGCAAACATGATCAACACGCGCAGACACCCAGGTGCAGGCACCACACCACCACCCCCACCACCGCTCACCACCACCAACAGCAACCAACCACCTTACCCCCACCACCACACACCACACACACACAACACCCTCCTCCCCCCTCCTTCCCTCCCCTCCCCACACACACCCTCCCCTCCCCTCCCCCACCCCCACCCCCACCACCACACACACACTCCCACCACTCCCACCACCTTCCATGTCTAGTTCTGGTGAAGGAGTACCGGACAAGGACATGGTGGGCATGATGGGCATGGAGTCAAGCACGGGCTCGGACATGACTGGTGGTGACAACAAGGCACAGGTCACAGAATCTGCCACTACCACCACCACGATGGCCACGACCCACAACAACAACAACAACAACAACAACAACAACAACAACAACAACAACAACAGCAACAACAACAACAACAACAGCAACAACAACAACAACAACAACAACAACAGCAACAACAACAACAACAACAACAACACGGTCATGGCCAATGCTGATGAGACGCCTCTGAAAGCCATCGCCAGTCAGTCGGGAGATCTTCAGCAGTCAGACAGTCCCGTCACCATCATCGTCGACAAGGAAGACGATGATGTGATCATCCACAGCTCTGATGAAATCGAGCCAGAGGTGGCCATTCCTGGCATGCGAGTGGCTTCGTTCTTTGCTGTTGTCGGCATGTCGCCTGGTCCCCTGGTTGAGGCTGCAGAGATCAACGCCAATGCGGTCCGCTCGGTGGCGGTGAATGAGGAAGACAGTGTGGCTGAGGCTGCCATCGAGCCCAACCCGGTCCTTGTGCTCCCGAGCCAGCTCGATCGTGGTCTCTCCAGACAGCGCGCAGGCTCGGCAACGTCGGTTGGCTCGTCTGTCGGCTCGGCGTCAGCTACGTCGCCGCTCGGCATCACAGGGCCCATGTCACTCCCGTCGTCGCCGTCGGTCGACTCGGTCGATGGCTCGGCCTCGTCGCCCACACGGAGCCACAAGAAGAAACGCCGCCGTGTCAGCACCCGCACCGGCTGGGGCTCGCGCGCCAGTGCCGCCGTCCTCGACACCGTCCTCGCTGGCGAGTACCAGGGCACAACGCTGCTGCGGCTGCCCGAGGCCGACGCCGGCGACGGCTCGGTCGTCGTCCCGGACAACTTGTGGATGTTTTGCTTCCCGCGCTCCGCCAAGATCCGCCGTCCGGACTCGACCGCCGGCTCGGCTGCCTCCCGCCTCCCGCAGCCGCGCTTCCACTCGTTTGTCCTCACAGAGCTCTCGGGCGGTCACTCGTTTGGTGGGTGCATCACCTTTTACGAGGAGGCCTACCTCGAGGTCTCGGTCCCGCGCGAGCCGGTCGCCGACACCGCTGCAGCCGACGCGCCCGCCAGCTCGGATTCAGACTCGAGCTCGGGCTCGTACCTGACCGACGACGAGCTGGAGTCGGTCGCGCCGCCGGCCGCCGATCCGCGGCCCGACGCCGTCCGCATTCGCGTCCGGGTCCTTGTGCCCAAGGCGCTGGTCCTCGTTTGCAAGGCGCCGGTCTACGCCTTTATCGAGTCGTACCTCGTCTCGCTCCTCGACATCCATCTCCGCCGCGTGGAAGAGGTCGCCGCCCCGACCGAGTCGCTCCCGGTCTCATTCCGCATCCCTTACCGCGACCTGTTGTGCAACCTGCTCGAACAAGTCCCGCTGCCGCCGCGCGGCAAGCTCCAAGTCTCGGTCTCGATCGGCCAGTCTGAGCTCTTCCTCCGCAGGCCGGCCTTTAATGAGCTCCCACTCCTCGATGTCGCCATGGACTTGCTCCTCATGGTCGCCGACCAGGACACCCTCATCCAGCTCTTCCACGCCCTCGTTCTCGAACAAAAGCTCGTCCTCGTCTCGGACCACGCCTGGCTCCTCACCCCAATCGCCGAGGCCCTGCTCTCGCTCCTTTACCCCTTCAAGTGGGACCACGTGTACATCCCGCTCGTCCCCAAGCCGCTCGTCAACTTTGTCCATGCCCCGGTCCCGTTTGTCATGGGCATGCTCCACGAGTACCTCCCGCGCAACGAGCTCTCTGACGACGTCGTCCGCTTCAACATCGATACCGGTGCCGTCTCGTCCGGCGCCCCGCTCGACATCGAGCCGCTCCCCGAGTACGTGCATAAGAAGCTCGTCAAGCGCCTCTCTGCCATCAGGATGCGCCGCCCAGGCGCTCCGCTCGACATTGCCAAGCTCCGCAAGGTTCACTCGCACTATGTCGCCCGTGCAGTCGCCCCGGTCACCCTTGACGCAGACAACTCGCTGCTCGAGCCGACTCTCGTCGGTGCGCCGCCGAGCCAGGCTGGTGGCAAGACCGGCCCGTCTCCGCTCTCCTCGCGCCGCTCCTCCATCGCCTCCACCCGTGACACGCCGTCTACCAACGGCACGCCCACCATTCAGCTTCTCTCCGACTCGATTCACGACTCGTCGCCGCAGCTGGCCCTTGTCGACCGCTCCATGGCTGCCTACCGTCGCCGGCAGAGCATTGACACTCACGCCTCGCGTCTCCGGAGCCGCGGCACGCCTGCTCGATCCATCTCGGTCGGATCAGACGAGCTCCGTGTCCGCGCCGTCACCTCGGCCGCCTCCTCCCATCCGCCGGCCGGCGCGCCTTCCAGCGCCGAGCCCGACCCTGACCTCAATGACGACCCCGAGCTTGACTCGCTGCGCCTCAAGGGCCAGTCGGCGCAGAGCGCCGACGCCGACGCCGCCCGCGACGCGTTCCTCCGCTTCTTCACCTCGCTCTTCCAGGACTATGCAAAGTACGTCGTCACTGCTGACGACGAGGAGGCGTACGCCGCCATGATGGACGACTACAACTTTCCGCTTTTTGACAAGGACGGCTTCCTCGAGTCGCTCGCCGCGCTCGCCTCCAAGAACTCCAAGGCCCAGGCCTTTGTCTCGGCCATGCTCGCCACACAGGCGTTCAACCTCTTTGTCGAGGAGCGGGTCACCGCCGCCTTTCAAGGCGTCGACCTTGCGGGCATGCACTTTGACGAGGCCATCGTCGAGAAGAAGGGCAAGTCCAAGCTCCGACTTGGTCGTGGTGCAAAGGCGCTCTTCCTCTCCGATCCTTCGCTCCAGGTCGCCGCCACACACTACGCGCCCGAACCGTCGCGTGTCAACAAGCACCCGGTCCACCTGTTTGCCTACGGCCCTGCCTTTCCCACCCATTTTGAGGAAAGCCAGGTCCAGCTCCTCCCCGCCCTCGAGCTTGTGAAGCCGGTCCACGCCGAAGTCGCTGCCTACATCGAGCGCATGCGGGCAAATCCCTCGCTCCACGCAACCGTCGTCGACAAGCTCAACAAGACCGAGACCGAGGAGTCGGCCATCAACTGGGCCGTCTTTGACAAGTACGCCGACGACGACGACCCGCTGCCGTCGCGCCCGACCTTCCGTTACGGCGACACCACCGCACCCATGACCAATGAGCTTTTCTGGGCAGAGATCCCTGACTACGTCCGTGCAGAGATGCACTTTTTCAACACTCGGACCCGCGAGACTACCCGCGCGCTCCCGGAGGTCTTTATGTCGTTCACAGAGTTCCTCGACGCCCGCGACAACTGCACTGCCTTCTTTGACGACGCCAGCGCCGCCGTCCGCGACCTTGTCCTGGCCCAGGCCGCAGAACTGACAGCATTTCGCGCCCAGTTTGAGTCTGTCCTCGCCGCCATGGAGGAGCGCCACACGGCGGAGATCGCCAAGGCACGTGCCGCAAAGACAAAGGCCATCCTCAACCGCGTCCGCAACGTCACCGAGGCTCGTCGCGTCCTCGTCGCCGCCGCACGCGTCGAGCTCGACAAGACCGAGCGCTCCGAGGAGAACAACGTCGCCCGCCTCTTTGCTAAGCGCCAGGAGCGCATGGCTGCCATCCAGGACCAGCGCCGCAAGGCCAAGCTTGATCGTCTCACCATCCTTCGCGAGCCGCCCAAGAAGCCGTCCAAGGCCCGCAAGCCGACTTACGTCGGCCCCGAGCCGCCGCCGCACCGCGCCGCGCTCGTCAAAGCCTCCAGTCCGCCGCCCCAATCGCCCATCCCGGCTCCGGTCGCCCTGCCCGAGCCGCCCGCGCACGTCCCCGCCGCTGCTCACGCCCGCCAGCCCTCGATCAGCTCGCCGCCGTCACCCGTCCTCATCTCCGCTCCGCCCGGTGCGTCGGCCGGTCCGCCACCAGCCTCTCCGCCACCTCGCAAGCTCTCCGGCCGACGTCCATCGCTCAAGACAGCGAATGCGCCGTCCAAGCCGTCCAAGAGCCGCAAGCCGACTGTCACCGGCGGCACTGTCGCTCTGCCGACCTCCATCGCCGCCGCTGCTGCCGCCGCTGTCACATCCCCACCGCCGTCGCCCGTTACGCCCGTCCCGACGACCTCAAGCGAGCCGCCGTCCTCGACATAAACCCCCAATCGGGTACGATATTCGCGCAGAGTCGCTGGCAGCGCTCGCGCCGCCAAAGGGCAAGCTCGGGCGTGTCGACCATTGGATTCGCTCCGGTCCGCCACACGTGTCTGGCGCCATGACTGGGAGACCACCTCCTGTACGTGAGACAAGGCTAAACGGGTTGGTGCTCCAAAGGGTGGCAGTCATCCACAAGTGGGACATGGCGTGCTGGTGGGCTTTGGCGGCTTGCTGGTGGGAGTGGGCCCGGGGGTGTGGGGAGGACGGTAGCGGGGGCGGGCGGGGGGTGGGGGGGGGGGGTGCTTTGGCGCGCGATCGCCTCCCGATCATGATCAAGGCGGCTTTTCGCCACTTGCCAGAGAAAGGCCGTGCCGGAGGGTGAAGGGGGGGGGGGGAGGGGGGGGAGGGGGGAAGACTCACTCGGTTTGGCATATGTGGTGGCGATGTAGAAGTCCATCTGGACAACAAGGCATGGGCACCCGTCGAGTCTCCCGCCGTCGTCGTCGTCCAGAGTCTCGTTCACCATGCCGCTGTCGGGCAATCGGACGCTCGTGGTGGACGACTCGAACATTTCGGTCCGTGGGCCAGGCCATGGCGGTGCTGGCTCGCGATCGTCGACAGCTGCCCGTTCACTAAGCGCTGGCTCCTCGGCGTACGAGCGGGTCTTGGCGCCCGGCCCGCGGCTGGCCTCGTCCCACTTTGACAGCAGGCCGAGGATCGATGAGGAGCTCGAGGGTGAGCTCGGCGAGGTCTCGGGCATCGGCCTCGAGAGTGGAAGCGTGGGGGGGGGAGGCGGAAACGGTGGGATGGGCTTGCAGTACGTCATGGCGCCGGAGATCGTGCCTGCGATGCAGACTCAGATGCAGCTGTTGCACGAGCTGATGACAGGGGTCAAGGAGCACCAGACTGCAGCAGCCGAGCAGGCTGCGCGCAAGGACGAGGTCATTGCCGAGTTGCTCGCCCGGGTCGAGAAGCTTGAGAAAGAGTCGCGTGCGTTCAACGACGATCCCGACGCCCATGCAGAGCTGTGGCGCGAGAAGGAGAAGGTCGGGAGCCTCCAGCAGGAGGTGTGGACGCTGCAGGAGTCTGTTCAGGGCATTGAGGCCTCGATTCAGACCATCCACGCACTGCAGGCCCAGACAACAGCGTCGGTCAATACTGCGCTTCAGGCGGCGCTGGAGGCTCAGCGGGCGCCGATGCTCGCCCTGCAGCGCGCCGGAGAGGCGCCGGCGCCGATGCCAGCCGCGACAGCGGCGGCTGATCTCGACGCGCTCGAGCTACGAGTCATGCGCAAGATTGACGAGGTTGCCACAAAGGCGGCGGCAGCAGCGCCGGTCCCAGTTGAAAGCTCGCCCACCCCTGGAGTCTCACCTGGTGACCTCGAAGCGCTGGAGCGGCGAATTCTGCACACCATCGAGGAGAGTGTGGCGGCTATTCAAGCCCCTGCCGCGATCGCCCAGGAGAGCAGCGTGTCGCCGGGTGATCTAGACGCTCTGGAACTCCGGATTCTGCGCAAGGTAGATGCCACAAGCGCAAGCAACGAGGACGCGGTGCGCGATGCCGCGGATGCTGCCGCACGGGCGGTGACCGAACTCCGGGCCGAGCTGGCTGCGGTAGCTGCGGCACGTTCTGTCGATGATAGTCCGGCAGTCCGCGACGAGAGCAGTGGTGGAGGCGTGGATGCCAGCACTTTTGCGGCGCTGGGCGAGCAAGTGGCCGGTTTGCGGTATGCGCTCGAGTCTGTGGAACAGGACGTGGCAAGCCTCAGCGTCGATCGTAACCACGAGCTGGAGCGGGTGCGCTCTCAGCTGATGGAACTTGTAGAGGCCAGGGGTACGAGCAGCGGTGAGAGCAGCGAGAGCGCCATCACGGTCTCACAGTTCAAGACGATGCGGCGAGACCTTGCACAAGTCTACGAGGGGCTCAACAACGCCAAGGAGGAGGCCGTCTCGCACTCGAAAATGGCGAGAAACGACGTGACTGAGCTCCGCGCGTTGGTGACAGAGCTGACAGAGCGAGTCGACGCGGTCGACGCGTCGTCGTCGGCGGCAGTGACAGAGGTTCTCGGCGCGGTGGAGCGGGTACAGGCCGAGGCGCTTGCAGCGCGGGAGGAGGCGAGTGCGGCCCGAGAGACGGCTAGCCGGCTGTCGCCGGACAAGTCCCGTGGGTTCTCTCCCGGCGTGGACGAGGACAATGCCGGCGGCGAGTCGAGCGGCGCGCGGTCACTGCAGCGGCGGGTCAAGGGCGTGGAGAACCGGGTCAAGTCGCTGCGGAGCAGCTCCAAGGAGACTGCGGCAACAGTGGCGGAGCTCGACGATCGGATGGGGACGCTGCGGTCGGATGTGTCGTCGGTTGTCTCGCATGTTGTAGCGCTCAAGGAGCAGATGGATGGCTTGGTGACGCAGTCTTTCCCCGAGGTGTATCAGGATCTCGACGCACTGACAGCGTCGATCGAGGCGCTCGAGGCGTATGTGGAGTCGAACAAGACTTTCAACACCAAAATCCAGGGAACGGTGAACCAGCTGATGGACCGGGTAGTGTTTGGCGGCGAGGGCGGTCACGGCGAAGGCGGTGGGCGCACGAGCGGACCCACGGCAGCTGGACACGTCCAGCGCTGGGTCAACACGGCGTCGACAACCTCGTTTGGCGCGTCAACCAATGCGTCCGGTGTGTACGGTGGTGGACATGAGGGTGATCGGCTTCCGTCGTCGTCGTCATCATCATCGTCGTCGTCGTCGTCGTCCAACTCGCTCGAGTTTCCGCGTGCCGGTGGTGGCGGTGGCGGTGACGACCATTACCAGTATCGGTCCGGGCTAGGGCGGCGGTTCAACGACGATGACGACGACGACGACCTTGGTCGGCCGTTTGGAGGTGGTGGACGAGGTGGCGGCGGTGGCGGGCGGCCGACGTCGTCGTATGGTCGGCGGCCTGGGTCTGCGAGCAGCGGGCACGGCGACCGCGGTGGCGGTGGCGGCGGAGACGGTGGCGGTGGCGGGTACCGGCGGTACGCGAGTGGTGCCGGTGGAAGCTCGCTTGCTGAAACGGCCTCGCAGCTGCACTCGATGAACGAGTCTGTGGAGGACGTGATGCGGTCTGCGGATGTGCTGCTCTCTGCAATTGCCGACCTCAAGAACTCGCCGCGAAAAGGTGGCGAGCGTGTGCCGCTGGCGGTGATGGACCCAAACGTGATGTCGCCAAGCCGGCGACCGGTGCGGAGCATTGTGGAGCCGGCTTCGCCGGAAGGAGCGCCGTCTCCGATTGTGTTTGAGGTCTCTCACGCTAACACCACGGTGCTCACGCACCGACTGGAGATGGAAAGACTTGGGTTTGACGTCGAGCACCTTGCGCAGAAGATGGCGTGCGCGTCGCTTGATATGCAGCGCGAGCTTGTTGCGCTTGCCGGGCGGGTGGCCGAGATGGAGACGAACGTGGGGGTGCTCGGAGCCAACGTCGCCGCCAACAACGGCATCAAGCGCAAGACGGCACAGGTGGTGCGGCTGCTGCAGGGCCAGACGACCGAGCTGTTTGGCGAGCTCAACGCCCGGGTAGACGAGCTCGCCGGCGAGGTCCAGGAGCGAGTGGAGAGCCTTGTGGCGGCAGTCTCGCGAGTCGCCGGTGATGCAGCCAGTGTGACGGCCGTCAAGGAAGCTGCCGAGGCAGCGGCGGCGCAGGTGGACAAGCTCGATAGCTTGGCCAAGGCCATGGCCGTCCGCGTCGACAAGGTGGAGGTTGGGCTCAACGCCGCTGCGGTGGCAGCAGCAGTCGAGGCGCGGATGAACGGGTTCGAGGCCGAGGTCAAATCTGTGGCAAAGATGGTGGAAGAGGTAAGAACTGCTGCCGAAGCGGCTGGGGCTGAGGCCAAGGCTACTGCCGAGGCGGTAGCCGAGGAATCTGTCGCCGGGATCCAGGTGGTGTCTGATGCGGTGGCTGAGGTCAAGGAAGTGGCCAGCGCAGCGGCGGTCGAGGCCAGGGCTGCGACTGAGACGGTGGCCGAGGTCAGGGCGGTTTCCGATGCGGCGGCGGTCGAGGCCAGGGCTGTGACCGAGGCGGTGGCCGAGGTCAGGGCATTGGCCGAGGCATTCACGGCCGAGGCCAACGCTGCGACCGAGGCGGTGGCTGAGGCCAAGGTGGTGGCCAGTACGGCTGCGGCCGAGGCCAACGCTGCGACCAAGGTCGTGACCGAGGTCAAGGCAGTGGCTGACGCATCCGTAGCCGAGGTCAGGGAATTGGCCGAGGCATCCGCGGTCGAGGCCAGGGCTGCGACCGAGGCAGTGGCTGAGGCCAAGGTGGTGGCCAGTACGGCTGCGGCCGAGGCCAACGCTGCGACCAAGGTCGTGGCCGAGGTCAAGGCAGTGGCTGACGCATCCGTGGCCGAGGTCAAGACTGTGGCCGATGCGGCGGCGGTCGAGGCCAGGGCTGCGACCGAGGCAGTGGCCGAGGTCAGGGCTTTGGCCGAGGCATCCGCGGTCGAGGCCAACGCTGCGACCGAGGCGGTGGCCGAGGTCAGGGCATTGGCCGAGGCATTCACGGCCGAGGCCAACGCTGCGACCGAGGCAGTGGCTGAGGCCAAGGTGGTGGCCAGTACGGCTGCGGCCGAGGCCAACGCTGCGACCAAGGTCGTGGCCGAGATCAAGGCAGTGGCTGACGCATCCGTGGCCGAGGTCAAGACTGTGGCCGATGTGGCGGCGGTCGAGGCCAGGGCAGCGACCGAGGCAGTGGCCGAGGTCAGGGCATTGGCCGAGGCATCCACGGCCGAGGCCAACGCTGCGACCAAGGCGGTGGCTGAAGTTCAGGCGGTGGCCGAGGCATCCGTGGCCGAGGTCAAGGCAGTGGCCGAGGCAGCTGCGGCAGAGGTCAAGGCTGCCTTTGGTGCTGTGGCCAATGTCAAGTCCGTAGCTGACGGTGCCGCTGCGCTAGCCGCCAACGCAAGTGCTGCTGCTGAGGAAACACGATCCATCTCCATGGCAACCACCTCTGACCTTGACACCGTGGTGAGCACAGCCCTGTCGACCACATCTGCGCTGGAGGCCGCTGTGGGTGCGCTGTCTGGCAAGATCAGCAAGTTGGAGGCTGCCGTAGACGAAACACGGGAAGCGACGTCCGCCCTCGCGCTCGGCGCATCGGGTGTGGCCGAGACTGACGCTCGGACCATCGCTGCGTCTTTTGAGGCCGTTGTCTCGGAGACCAAGGCCGATGTTGCACACGCCCTTGAGGCCATCGACGGTCTGCGCGTCATTGTGGCAGAGGCCAAGTCTGCTGGCAAGTCCGAGGCTGCCGTCATCGGTGGTGACGTTGCCCGCGCGTTGGCTGTGGCCAACACCACCGCCAAGGTTGTTGCCGAGCTAGAGCACGTCACCGCGGTGGCCCAGCGCGACAGTGAGCGTGCACTCGCCGATGTCGCTGCAGTCGCGGCAACTGTGGCTGCCGCACAAACTGAGAGTGGACGCCTGGCCACGCGCGTGTGCGCTATTGAGGGCCCTGTTGTCGCCAAGCTTGAGGCCGCAGTTGCAACCTTGGCCGCCGAAATGGATGTTCTCGGGAGCCTTGAAGCCCGCGTTGCGAACGGACTGGATGCGCTTAAGGACCTGGTTGAGGCCGAGACCGCCAGCCGCAACGACGCAATCGCCGATGTCGTGGCGGATGTAGAGACGGTCAAGGGCTTGCTGCAGGAAGCTGAAGCTGCCCACAGCAGTGCAGTCGAGGCAGTCATCATTGATGTAGACTCGCTGAAGGCTACCGCTGCCGATAATTGCGATTCGCTCGAATCTGTTGCCGCTGTCGTTGCCTCACATGAGGCTGCAGTTGCTGACATTGAGTCGCTGAAGGCCGCGTTTGCTGACATCGAGTCGGTCAAGGCTGCGGTTGCTGACGTCGAGTCGGTCAAGGATGCGGTTGCTGAAATCGAGTCGCTGAAGGCCGCGTTTGCTGACATCGATGCGCTGAAGGCCGCGTTTGCTGACATCGAGTCGGTCAAGGCTGCGGTTGCTGACGTCGACGCGCTGAAGGCTGCGGTTGCTGACATCGAGTCGGTCAAGGCTGCAGTCGCTGACATCGAGTCGGTCAAGGCTGCGGTTGCTGAAATCGAGTCGCTGAAGGCCGCGTTTGCTGACATCGACGCGCTGAAGGCCGCGTTTGCTGACATCGAGTCGGTCAAGGCTGCAGTCGCTGACATCGAGTCGGTCAAGGCTGCGGTTGCTGAAATCGAGTCGCTGAAGGACATCACCTCTGGAATCGCCTCTCTGGAGGCTGCCAGTCTGGAGAATTCCGAGTTGCTCAGGTCTGTTGCCGATAACGTTTGCTCACTCGAGGCTGCAGTCGCTGACATCGAGTCGGTCAAGGCTGCGGTTGCTGACATCGAGTCGCTGAAGGCCGCGTTTGCTGACATCGAGTCGGTCAAGGCTGCAGTCGCTGACATCGAGTCGGTCAAGGCTGCGGTTGCTGACATCGAGTCGCTGAAGGCCGCGTTTGCTGACATCGACGCGCTGAAGGCCGCGTTTGCTGACATCGAGTCGGTCAAGGCTGCAGTTGCTGACGTCGACGCGCTGAAGGCTGCAGTCGCTGACATCGAGTCGGTCAAGGCTGCGGTTGCTGAAATCGAGTCGCTGAAGGACATCACCTCTGGAATCGCCTCTCTGGAGGCCGCCAGTCTGGAGAATTCCGAGTTGCTCAGGTCTGTTGCCGATAACGTTTGCTCACTCGAGGCTGCAGTCGCTGACATCGAGTCGGTCAAGGCTGCTACTGCTGACAACTGTGAAGCGCTCAAGTCTACTGCCGCCGACATTTTCTCGCTCCAGGCTGCCACCAGCGCCGATATCGAGTCGCTGAAGACTACTACAGCTGGCAACCGCGACCTGCTCAAGTCGGTTGCTGCCGACATCGACTCGCTCCACAGCACAACCACCGCTGACATCGACTCGGTCAGGTCTACCGCCTCCTACAACTGCGAATCGCTCAAGTCGGTCACGGCCGATATTGCCTCGCTGAAGGCCACAGCTACGCGCATCGACTCGCTCCAGGCCGCCGCAGCAGCCGAAATTGACTCACTCGCGTCCGCCCTGGCCTCAGAGTCCGAGTCTGCAAAGCTCCGCGCCGCTGTCACCGCCTCAGAGACCGCAAGGCTTGCACAGCTCGAGGCCGCAGTCGCTGCAGAGTCTGCGAAGCTCGCCAAGCTGGTGGCGGCCGAGCCCGAGCCAGCGAGCCCTTCTGTCGCAGACGCCGAGGCCGTGGCCACCGCCCTTTCCAAGGCCTCGATGGCGCTGTCTGCATCGTCGGCGCTGGGCAACGAGTCTGCACGACTCGCCGATGCGCTCAGCACCTTCGAGAAGCATGTGGCAGTGCGCGACATCAGTATCCTTGCCCGACTCGATGCCGTCGAATCGGCTGTTGAGGCCAAGCTGGCCGACGTCGACGCCAGCCTGCACGCCTTTGAGGTCCGCTTTGACAGCGACGATGAGCCACCTCAGGCTGCCGACATTGTCCGCCGGCTCGATGACGTTGACGCCAAGCTCGCCGCCGCCCTTGCCGCCACCCCCTCGCGCGACGAGCTCATCCAACTAGCCGAGTCGCTCGTCCCGCCGCTCACCTCGCCAGCCCCCGGCTCTGACGCTGAGCGTGTCGACGTCGTTGAGCGGGTCTGCGCCTCACTCGTCAACAAGGTCCAAGCCCTTGACGAGGAAGTTTCCCGCATGGCGCCGACCCTCGTGCTCAACAAGGTTGCCATCCTCTGGGACGAGCGCACCTCGGGCACCACAACCCGTCCAGGGCGCCCCGGCGACATCGCATCGTCCGCCACCTCCCCGGCGGCTCCAGAGGTCACCTTTGACCACCTCTCGCTCTTCCTGCTTCGCCTCAAGAACGTCGAGTCGCTCACCGCAACTCTCGCCGCTAGACTTGGCGTACCCTGTGCCTCCCCGCGACCGGCCATCTACCTCACGGACGACGACATCCTCGCCGGAGCTGCGCAGTAAACACCGATCAGTCGGTTATGGCGGTCGCGGGTGGTAAGAAGACAGCGTTGTCCGCATTGAGGCGCGCCGCATCTTGCACTTTCGACTCTACCTTACAGGGGTATAGGCTGACAGACAGACAGACAGACAGACAGACTCAACAACAGACTGACCGATCCCCACCGACCCACCCACCGACTCAGCGACCGACCCACCCACCCAACCACCCACCGATCGCCCCGCCGACCCGCCGACCCACCGACCCACCGACCGATCGGCGGAGCGATCGGCCGACCGACCGAACGGCGGCGGAGCGACGAACCGAGTGGCCGACGGAGCGACGGCCTGTGGCAGCGGGAGCAGGGGAAGGGGCAAGGGCAAGAGCTGGAGCGGACTTCACGTGACGCGCAAGGCAGCAAGGCAAGAGGGAAGCGGAATGCGGGAGTGTGCAGCATGCCATGAGAGCCATGCACGGGAGGCCTTCTCCAAGGGCCAGTGGAAGAAGGGTGCAGGCACCGCCCGCTGCAAGTCATGCGTCGCCGCAGACAGGCCTGTCTCTGCCGCAGACAGCGAGCTGGGGGCAGGCGCCGGGGTGGGGGCAGGCACCGGGATGGGGGCAGGCACCGGGCCGGTCGGCGACAACGAGCTGCGAGGCAGATGGCAGTGCAGGCAGTGATCCGTTTGCGGCGGCTGACGAGGACAACGACGACGACGGATGGCGAGGCAGATGGCAGTGCAGGCAGTGATCCGTTTGCGGCGGCTGACGAGGACAAGGACGACGACGATAGCCCCTTCGCAGCGGCTGACAACGACGACGACGACAGCCCCTTCGCAGCGGCAGACAACGACGACGACGATAGCCCCTTCGCGGCGGCTGACAACGACGACGACGACAGCCCCTTCGCAGCGGCTGACAACGACGACTTCGCGGCGGCAGACAACGACGACGACGACGACCCGTTTGCGGCGGCTGACAACGACGACGACGACGACCCGTTTGCGGCGGCAGACAAGACGGCCGATGACGAAAGCCCGGTCACTGGCAAGACAGAGCCGGTTTCGGTATCTGGAGCAGGCGAACTGTTTGGCTCGGACGACGACGACGCGTCGGATCCGTTTGCCCATGGCGAGGCGTCCTCCGATGGCGACAGCGGTGCCATGCCGTCGGCGTCGGACGACGAGCCTGCGGCAGCCGAGCCCGAGGAGATCTTTGCCACGGCTGAGGCCGGCGAGCTGTCGCCGGCAGGACGGCCTGGAAGCGGTGGCGATGGTGTGGCTTTTGAGGTGACGGTGACGAACCCGAAGAAGGTCGGCTCGACGGTCAACCCGTACATCTCGTACGAAGTCCACTCGGCGACGAACCTGCCGGGCTACTCGCGGGCGTCCAACTGTGTCGATCGGCGTTTCCGCGATTTTCTGTGGCTCCACGAGTGCCTCGCAAAGGAGGCCAAGGGCACCATTGTGCCGCCGCTGCCTGAGAAGGCCTTTATTGGCCGCTTCCGCGAGCACGTCATCGAGTACCGCCGTGTGTGCCTCGAGCAGTTTCTGCTGCGGGTGGGGACGCACCCGACGCTGCGGAGCTCGCGGGTCCTGCGGGCCTTTTTGGAGGACATCGAGGTGCCGTCGCCCAAGGGCGTCAAGGACGACGTCGTCGCCACCCTTACCTCGTTTGATTACCGCTCGCTGGTCCCGCGATCGACTACCCGCGAGCACGACGGCGCCTACGACGACGTCCTTGCCGCCGCCGCCGCGTCGGATGCTGCGCTTCGTGATCACGCCATCGCCGCGCAGGCGCTCGTGAAAGCCACCCACAAGGAGGCCGACGGTTGGGGCGACTTTTGCAACGCGGCCATGACCATGACCGCTGACTACGAACCGACCGCTACGCCAGTCGAGCTCATGCTCGACGTCATCGCCTCGACGGCGTCGGAAGAGTCGGACCGCCTCGAGCAGCTCGCCGAGCTTGCAGACTCGTACCTATGGATCCCGACCAAGCGCGCCATTCGCGGCCTTCGCGAGATCAAGCGCTCGGTCGACGCCCGCAATGCGGCGTGTGGCGAGTGGTGGGAGCTGGAGGATCGCCTGACCAAGGCCGAGAAGAAGGCTGCCGACTCGGCGTCGTCGTCGGCCGCCGCAGCAGCAGCAGCAGGCGCTGACACCCACGCCACGACCTCGTCGACCCACAAGGAGTATCAGAAGATGGAGGAGATGTCGAACCGGGTGGCTGTTGCCGCCGCTGCCTTTGACGCCTCGGACAACAGGCTCAAGGCCGATCTCGACCTTGTCGCCGTCCAGCGGGTCGAGGACGCCGCAGCCGCTCTCGAGCGCTACGTCAGCATGCGGGTCGAGTGCCACCAGGGCGGACTCGAGCTCTGGCGCCAGGCGCTTGAAGATCTGGTCGAGGCCGCTGCCGATACCCGTGGTCGCGACGCCGGGCGATAAACACGTGCGCTGCAGCAAGGGTCACTGCTTGTGCGAGGCGGAGAACCAGCCAAACTCAGCCGATGCCGGAACGCCGTCAAAGGCCTCGAGATATCGGAGACCGGCATCGAGGTCGATGGCCCGCTCGCGCTTGTCGAGGCCCGGGCGGAGGTTGTTGAGGGTGGTTAGCTGCGCAGCATCGAGATCCGGATTGTCGCGGACGAGGTCCTCGATCCACAGCGCCATGTTGCCGGCCTGGGCGACGAGGAACTCGGCGAGCGAGGCGATGACGCGGGTGACCCGGGCGGCCTTCTTCTGCTTCATGATAAGGACCGAGCCAAAGAAGCCGTCGAGTGCCTCCTTGTCGGCGAGCATGGCTGCAGCCACATTTTCAGTAACAGGCGTCTTGGAGGCGAGGAGGGCGTCGACGTAGGCCTGGACGACAGCAATCTCCTGCCCGATGGCGAGGCGCTCAAAGAAGACCGGGTCGATGCACTCGCGCAGCTCGTCTTCGTAGTAGTAGTCCTCGAGGGTGGCAATGACGGTGGCCATCAGCTGCTCCTCGATCCACTTGCCCTTGGACGAGAAGAACTGGGCCATGACCGGCTTGAGGTCATCAAGAATGAGGCCCGAGAGAACGCTGACGGCCTGGTTGGCGAGCGCAAAGAAGCCAGCGTCGAGCTCATCCAGCGCGTCGAGCTCCTCGTCCCACGGCTCCTCAAGCATGGCGGCGAGCTTGTCCTTGAGCGTTGCCGTGTGGCGCATGCACTTGGATGCGTTGTTGATCTGCTCCAGCGTGTACAGAAAGGCGAGGTCGCCGTCGGCTTCAGAGTCCCGGCGCTGCCAGAGCGACGAGCCGTCGGCGACGGAGACAAGCATGCCTGCGACACGGTCCTGGTAGCGCTTGAGGGCGGTGATGCATTTGACAACGACGTCCCAGAGGAACTTGCCCATCGAGGTGCCCGAGGCGACCTCGATCTGCTCGTTGACCATCTTGAAGAGATGGACCGGCGCGGCGGTGCAGTTGAGGCCAGTGATGTCGCGCTCGGGTGGGGCATTGGTGTTGCGATCGTCGGTGTCAGCGAGGAAGACGTTGTCGACCCACTCGTGGAGACGAGAGGCCATGTGCTCGAGGTACATTCCCATGAGCGGGGCAAACGACTCGACAAGCTGCGGCTCGAGCGAGGTGACGCCGAGGCGAAGCGCCATGTCGGCCTGGTACTCGCGGACCCACGAGATGAAGACCAGGATCTCGGCAGCGGTGAGAGGCGCGGCCGAGGAGAGGGTCATCTCTTCGAGCTTGTTGTAGAGCCGGGTGTGGTACTCGGAGATCCAAAAGTCAAAGACACGGAACTGCGGCGGGAAGCAGGGGCGGACGACGTCGTAGACCTGCTCGAGATCCTCGATGACAAAGGCGCCGGCCTCGAGGACCTCGGCGAGGGTAGAGGTCATGCCAAAGTGGCCCATGAACCGCTCCTCGGCCGCACGATCGAGTGCGTCCATCATGAGGAGGCCGTAGCGGCCGAGCTTGGCCTCAAAGCCAAAGTACTGGACGGCGGTGAGGTCGCCGGCAGCAGCAGCAGCAGCCTCCTCCTTGGAGACGATGATGAGGATGGCAACAAGGAGTTGTGGCATGGAACGAGCCAGCTCGAGCGTCCGGCCAAACAGCTGGCGGATGCGCTTGAGCAGCTTGGCCCGGACCTCGGCAACCTCCTGAAAGTGGATGGCGAGCTGGGCCTGCTCGGCCGGCGAGTCTGCAGCCCGAGCAAGGGCGGTGTCACGGTCGGCCTCGAGCTGGATGAGCTCGGTGTGGACCTCAATAAGCGCATCGTCGTCTTCCAGCAGGTCAAGGAGCTCGACAACCCTCTCTGGGATGGACTGGATGCTGTCGAGCAGATCAAGGGTGGCACGGATGTTGGTGGCAGCCTGCGAGACCGAGGCGACGAGCGGGTACTGGTGGATGAGGGAGGCTGTTGCAGTTGATGTTGCTGATGCGGTTGTGATGCTGCGCAGGGGAGCGGGGGGTAGGTGAGTAGATGGTCGGCCTTCACACCACGGCCGTGACCTCCATGATGACCCTGACCATCGCCCTGACCATCGCCATGATCTCCATGATCTCCATGACTACAACCGACATGATCTCCATGACTACAACCGACATGATCTCCATGATCTCCATCATCTCCATGATCTCCATGACCTCCATGATCTCCATGACCTCCATGATCTCCATGATCTCCATGATCTCCATGATCTCCATGACCATTGCAATGACCATCCCCACCATCCCCACCATCCCACCCCTTCCCCACCATCCCACCCCTTCCCAGCCCTGCCGATCCGTACCTCTTCCGCACCCTGTTCAGATGAGCCCTCCCCTCGCCAGCAGCATTCATGGCCGATCTGGCATCGTTCAGCTGCATGGTGACGACCGAGACCAGTTGGCTCTCCACGGCTGCCAAGGCATGGCCAATGTCCGTCATGTACTCGCCGACCTTGCCCACATGCTCAGCCTCCTGCAAGAGGGCGGCCACACGGACCCGTGCTGCCTCCCGTGCCTCCTCTTGCACACGCTCTCCGCTCACCACAGACGAGTGCATCCGTCGCATGGTCCTTCTGTTCCTAGCCTCACAACAGCAGAAGAGACGAGTGTCCGTCCCCGTCCCTCTCCCTCTCCCTGTCCCTCTCCCTCCCCCCACCCGCCGTAGTGTTGCCCGCCGGCTGCTCGCTTGGAGAAGGCTCCGTCCCTCCACCGGCCGCCGAATCGGCTGCCGACCCACTTGCCCACACACACACACACACACACACACACACACACACACACACACACACACATACACACATACACACACACACACATCGATGCTCGGTATCGCCACGCGAGCATTGATGGTTGTGTCGCCAGTATCGTCAGTGTACAAGTGGGTAGCGATTAAACGCAACCCTACCAGTCGTCGTCCTCGTCCGAATCGAGCCAGTACAGCATGTCGATGTCGGGGACGGAGAGGCCGCGCCGCAGGAGCTCGATCTCGCTCATGAGTGCAGGCTGGTCGGCGGCAATGCAGAACGAGCTCAGCCGGTGTGTCCAGAGCTCGCGCAGATCGTTGTCAAGTACCATGCCGTGCTCGCGCTCCATCGCGCCATAGTAGCTGTGAAGGTCTGTGAAAGACGTGCCAAAGCCGAGCCGGATCTCGTTGTAGAGATTCGGCAGAAACAGCAAGCCGCAGCCGGCAACAGAGACTGCCCTGGCATTGAGCTCAGCCAGCTCGATGGCCATCGGCACTGTCAGCACCCGCCCGTCGAGCACAAACTGATCCAGCCGCCGCACAACTTCTTGCCACTCTCGGTGCGCATCTCGCGACTGGTGCACACCATACGTTGCATGGAGGTGGCTTGCGTTGAGCTGTCGGATCTGTGGCAGGTTCAGCAACAGGTCGTCGATCGTGTTCTCGTGCTGCGTCGCCTCCATGTGGGCCACCCCAAGCCGCTCAAGGCACGGCAGTGCGCCAAGGACAACCAGTCCGTCGCTAGTCACACCCTTGGAGCCCGAGATGTCGAGCTCGACCAGGTGCGGGCAGGCATGAACGAGCGACTTGAGCCAGTCATCGTCAACAACGTCGACCCATGAGATGCGGGCCACGCTTAGCGTGCGAAACAGGCCGACGTGGATCGGCTGGAGCGAGTTCCGGAGCCGCGCCTCGGCAACCAGCTCGGCCACCATCGCCGGCGGAACCGACGGAGATGTCATGACTGTATCCAGCGCATCTTTCACCACCGCCGTCCGTCCCAGCGCCACCAGGCTGCATGGGCCCTTGATCGGCGCGTCGTCCAGGACAAACGTCCGCAGGAGTTTCTTCGCTGTGGCCATCCTGGGGAGCTTCAGTGATGGGTCGTGCACGCTGAGGTCGATCCACGGCACAAGCACCACTCGTCGCCCATCCTCACTCACCACGCCCGCCAGCACGCTCAGCGTCATGTCCTGCGAAAGACCCAGACGGAAGGCCGGTCCCACCCGCCGGAGCTGTGTCAGCTCGGCGTCCAGCACGTAGCACACCATCTCGGTGGCAAAACGCGCCACTACCAGCATGCCGCCGCCGCCGCGCGCCTCCAGTGGCGTCGCTGAGATCGACAGGCACCGGTTAGTCCTGGCGCCGTCATCGCTGAGGCTGCACGCCGCGGCATGCCAGGTCACGCTGATGTCGCCACTCACACTTCGTGTCAGTTCCAACCAGCCAAACGTGGTGTACGCATGGTTGACCGCCACGTTGCCGCCAACAACCGCCACCCGTGAGTCGCCCACACAGACCAGGCTCGGCGCCATAACGGCCTCCGGTAGCTCGGCCACGTGGCGGTGCCAAGTGTGCGTCGTCAGATCAAAGACTGAGATGCTTGTAGTGAGACACAGCGCGTCGTCGTGCCACACCAGCCCACCGGCAATGACCAGACACTCGGCGGCCATCGCCGCGCCGTGCAGCAGTCGAGGCACCGGCGCCTCCCCGTCCATAGCCTCCAGCAGCTGCCACGTCCCCGTCCCCACCTCAAAGACCTCGATCCATGGCGGCGCCGCGTAGCCGTCCGGACTGCCCAGCGGCGCCGACGAGGTGATGCCGCCAATGATATACACTCGCGTTCCGTCGGCCGACAGCACCCCTGCGTGACCATGTCGCGGCGTCGGGATGTACGATCCGCGTGGCGGAACCAGCAGCGACCACGTGTTGCTCTTGAGCTCGCACACCAGTGGCGATGGCAGCGAGGTAAATAGCGGGCTCGACATCGGCAATGGCCTGAACGATGCTACGCCGCCGTACAACAGCGCCCGATCGTCGCCCAAATTGGTCCAGCTCGCGTACGATGAGTTCAGCGGCAGCGGCGAGCCGTTCATGGAAGGCTCCGACCACAACCCCATCCGCCCGCCTCCACCCTCTACAGACTGCGATGAGGACGACGAAGACGACGATGACGATGAGAGAGACCGCGATCGTGTCGGTGTTGATGATCGTGATCGTGATCTTGTCGCCTCGGGCCAGAGCCCGGCCGCAGCCTCCTCTTCCGAATCCGACGAAAGGTCGTGTAACTCCTGTCGCCGTCCACACCCGCCATACGCAGGCAAACAAGCCGATGTGAGTGCTGAGTTAAAGTAGGGGTTTTTCCCTCCAGCAGCATGTCATCCAAAGTGCCCGACACAGGCTGGCGCCATCCGCCGAGCAGACCGCGATGCCTACCTGTAGCGTGTCGTAGATAGAACGTAGCGAGTCCAAACCCGTAGGGGATGGGTAAGACTCTTCTTCCATTATCCTCTGAAAGTTTGGTTGGTGAGTAACGAGAGAAGCGTGTGTGAGAGAGCCTGGAAGTTTGGCCACAGGCAGAGTGTGTCGGTCCGGTCGGTGCGGGCGGTTTCGGTTGGTCGGTCGGTCGGCAGCCGGCAGCCGGCAGCTTGCCGACGCTGCCCGAAACGCGAGGCTGACACCGATGATGATGACGATGATGACGATGATGACGATGATGATGGGAGAAGGGATGGGAGAAGGCAGCAGAGTGGAACGATGTGGGCATGCAGAGGTAAGGGCAGAGGCAAGGGCAGAGGCAAGGGCACAGACAGGGGCAATGAGGACATATGGGGAGAGGGAGGGCGATGTGAGGGAAAACGCAAGAGATGGTTTACGCGTCGGCGTTCTTCTCCGGGGCATCCCGCCAGAGGGCCTTGACGGCCTCTGTGGGACCAGAGCCAAAGAAGGTTGCCTTGAACATGCCTGCGGCCATGAGGCCGGCGACAAAGAGGGCGACGGTCTTTGCGGTCTCCTGGGAGTCCCTGGGGACGTAGTCCTCGACGACACCGACGGTACCGACATAGGCATGGTAGGGAACCGCAGCAGAGAGAACGAGATCAACAGGCATGTTGAGGGCAGAGGGGGAAAGGGCAAGCGCAGCAGGCACAGCCGCAGCAAGAACAAGGCCCGTGTGGTGGAAATATTTGAGCTGACGGAGAGCCGACGAGTCAGCCTTTTGGGCCTTCAGAGCCGCAGCCGTGGGAAAGCCACCGGCGTTGACCTCATTGCCTCCAACTCCGCTCACTCCACCAACCTTGGAAGAAGAGGCTCGAGTGCTCCCGGCAACTCGAACTCCATGCACTGCACACGTCCGCTGAACACTCTGGGCCACTCGCGCAAACATCACACAGCTGGCTGGCGTCAAGTGCCGTCCGACGGCCAGCTCTCGCCAGCCGACGCGTCGTTCCTCGCCCGTCCGCCACTCACCGACCGCCGGCCGACCAACAGACCGCCGGCCGACCAACAGACCGCCGGCCGACCAACAGACCGCCGGCCGACCAACAGACCGCCGGCCGACCAACAGACCGCCGGCCGACCAACAGACCGCCGGCCGCTCGTCGGCTCGTCAACCAATCTTGCGCCGGCCGCTCGTCGGCTCGTCAACCAATCTTGCGACGATACCGCGGGTACGCAGCACGTCTACGTCTGACTGTCAACAAGATTGCCATTACAGGAATCCATCTCCCCCATGTTCATTCTCTTGCATCACGTCGACTCCATGTGGCACAGATGACGGAGAAAGGAGATATGTACGATGCCACGGGCCATGGCACTCATTGCACACACAGCCCACACCAGAACCTCACGCAGGGCAGCCAATATGCCTAAACCGTGGTCGCCGCCGACGTTGTAGTCACTCGCATGGGTGCCACGCCATCATCTGTGCCGGCATCGCCAGCAACAGCACGGGCGGATGAGCGGCGGGAAGTAGCCGTGCCAGCTGCCGCCGGTGGCGGAACAGACAACGGGGTCAACTCGCGGACGTTGGAGACGAGGACGGCCTTCTCATTGCGGGCCATCTTGGAGTTGATGTGGATGTGCTCGACGTTCTCCAGCGGTGTAGCCGTGAGATCGAGCAGAATCGACTTGTCCAACCCGTCCTTCAGCTCCTTCAACGCATCCATAATTGTTTCCCTATCCCTCCGCATCTCCTCGTCCGTGTACGGTGTCTGCAGTCCTTGCGAGCTGTTGCCGCCTCGCCACGCCCACAGCCATGAGTCCACCCACGTGCACACACACACACACACACACACACACACACACACACACACACACACACTCACACACACTCACCACATACAGCTTGTCAAAGGTGGCATTTCCCGCAGCCTCAAGGCGGCTAAGCTGGTCAAGCAAGCTCCCGCGTCCCGTGCTCGACATGCCACTCACTGAGATGCGAGAGAGTGGAGTGGTCGACGTCGACGGACGGCGATGGCCACCGTGATCGTCGACTCATGCCGACGTATGCCGACTCACATCCCGACTCACATCCCGACTCACATCCCGACTCACATCCCGACGCAGGCCGACTCATGCTGATTCATGCGACCACGATCAACGAGTCACAGCCGATCCACGCCGACCACCGCCGTCGTGCCGCATACAGCCGACGATCTGTGCATGTTGGAGTCAGATTGGGCCAGGACACTGGCCGCTACCGATGCTACGCTCTACCATAGTGGCTGTATCATGTAGAACATCGATCGCAAACGGGAGCAAAGATCTCGGCTATCTACCTACCTACGTGCGAGCAGATGTTGCTTCCCACACACCCACCCTCCCCCCACACACACACACAAACATGACCAAGCCCAAGACGAGACATTTGACGAATGCCTCGCGGCAATTCCAAGCGCAGACCTGGCTCTTTGAGCACGACAGGACGACAATGTCGGACGACAGCCGGGCGACATCGATCTAGTAGACATGGGCCACGTTGCGGAAGAGGGTCCAGAAGAGGACATAGGTGAGGAACGACTGCGAGAGAGCAGTGAGATGGTTCCATCCCGAGGCAAAGAAGCCAGCAAAGCCCGAGTTGCCAACCGTCCCGCCACCGACCGCCCGCGGCACCTGCGCCGCCGTCGCCTTGACCACCACAAGCACCGACGCCAGCCCAAACGAGCCGCCCCAGAGCGCAAACCCAGCAGAGCCCGTCAGTCCCAGAATACCTGCCACAGCGCCAAACGTCACCGCAAGGAGCACCCGCCTATGTACACACCCCGCCAACGCCCACCCGTTTGCCCCACGTGAGTCTGAGTCTGTGCCATGGCTACCACTTCCACCACCGACGCCGCCGCAAAGCCTCGACTTCCTCCCCATCCCCGCCCTCCGGCCTCGCAGGAGAAGGCCACTCCTTGCCCTAACCCCCGCTAAATCCCCCGCCAAACATACATATATGTCAAGACCTTCAGGTTCTTCTGCATGGCATCCCCGAGGTACATCTCGTCCACCACATTCACGCTCATTGTGCGTTGTGCAGTCGGCGTCGAGTGCTTCGCTGCGTCAACAACTCGCTCTAGGTCGGACCGCGGCTGATCGCCATCCGATCGCCAACTTCAGGAAAAAGCCGTCATCCACGACAACGTCAACGGCAAGATCACCATCACCACCACCACCACCACCACCACCACCACCACCACCACCACCACCACCACCAACACCATCACCACCACCACCAACAACCACAATCACCTCAGCTCATGTAATGATCACTGATCACACTCGCAACCATTGTCCCTGTCCCCTCCTCCCCTCCTCCTCCTCCCCCCTCCCTCCCTTCCTACTCCCCTCAATCCCTTCAATCCCCGATACCCACTCTCTCCACCACCCCTACATAGATCGGTCCACCCGATCCCCCCTTTGCGTCCCTTGCGCACGCAATGCCCCCCCCCCCCCCCCTCCCCAGCCCCGATGTCTACCACGGCCAGCAACACATGTCGGCTGAGCTGCTTTTCGCCCCCCCCCCCTCCCTCCCGCACTCTATGGACACATCACCCCACTCCACTCCACTCCACTCCACTCCGGCTTGTGTGTGAGGATGTCGTTCAGCGACCTCGAGGGCATGTTTGCCCATCTTGAACGAGCACTCCGTCCGCATGCGCTGCCTGGGGCCGTGGCGACGACAGCGACGGGGAGTGGTGGAGGAAGGGGAGGGAGAGGAAAGTCAACTCCGAAGCAGCAGGGCTCGTCCGTGGCGGGCGGGGCTATAGCCAAGGAGAGTGACACGCATGCAGGTACAGGGACACAAGCTGGGACAGAGGCAAGCGCTGGGGAAAGCGCTGGGCTAAGCGCTGGTGCTGGGCGTACCACAGCAGCTGCTGGCACGGGTACCGCTTCGGGACCTGCTCACTCGACAGGTCACTCGCCTGGTCGGCCGCTCTCGCCGGCTCCGCCAAAGATGGTTGGGCCGGAGAGTGGCAAAGGCGGTGGAGCGGGAGGTGCTTCTGGTGGTACGGCTCCGCAGGCGATGATGGCTCGGCCAGAGACGCCGACGAGAGCGGAGACTCCGACTCCTGGCGAATCAGCAAGCGACTCGTCGGGGCCGAGTCACGAGGAGCTGGAGGCGTGGCAGAATCGGGCGCTCGCTGCAGAGGCCCGCATGTCACGGACGACAGCGCAGTTGAAGCAGCTTCTGGCAGGCGTTCGGGCCGAGCAGTCGGCGGCCAAGGCGACGATTGCCACTCTAACCGAGAACCACAAGCGGGCGGCGAGAGCGCTGGTCGATCTGGCCTCGCAGCGTGATGCTGCTGTGGCCCGCTCGGCCGAGCTGACCGAGAAGCTCCGCGCAGTCGCTACCCAGCTTCTGCACGCCCGCCGCCACGCCGACGGCTCGGCGACGGCTGACGACCGCGTCGCCGCTGCCATGGAACAGGCTAAGACCGAGATTGCTGCCGTCAAGGCCGAGTACGCCTCCAAGTCGCTGGCCCACATTGTCGTGGCCTCGACCTCGGTCGCGCCGTCGGCCCTCGACGACGTCGCCAACCAACCGGTGAGGGTCCTCGAGGCCGTGCTAGCGAGCCTCGGATACGCTGACTCGTGACCGGCGACCACACACTCTGCACGCGCCACGCCCGGGCTACTTTGTGTTTGTTGAATTGAACTACTCTTGCCTCTACTCGACAATCCGGTACACGTACTTGCCGGCGGCCGGATCGCCGGCGGCCGGGTCGTCCGGGTTGATCCGCAGGTAGCGGCTGCGGTGGGCCATCCGGTAGCTGCGGGTGTGGCGGTGCGGGCTTGCGGCGCCGGCCCAGCCCGCGTCGTACGCCCCGTACTTGGCGAGGACGTCCGGGACGTCGACGAGGTAGCCGTCGCGGTCGAGCGGTGGGCCGCGGAAGCGGGTGGCGGATGTGTTCGGGCCGGCCACGCCGTGTGGGTTGCGCACGTCGTGGATCGAGCCAAACGAGCCGACAATGAGTGGGAGGCCGTAGCGGTCGCGCTCGCCGCGGCGGGCGAGCCGGGCCGCCGACGTCCGGTGCGCTGCAAAGTCGACCAGGTCCTGCCGCATTCGCGCCTGCATTGCCGCATACGGCCGGAGCGGGTCTGGCAGCGGCGGGCCAGCGTGTGCGCCGCCACGGCCGGCGTGGGCAGGCATCCCGAGCGCCGCCGCGGCGTAGCCCGGCGGCGGTGGGAGCTCGCTGGTTCCCACCTGCGCCCCGTCGCCGTCGCGCTCGCGGGCTTCGGCCTTGCGCAGCAGCTTGGCCACCCGCTTCTCGGCAGCCTTGACCATCAGAACCTGCTCCTCGTCTGGCGAGAGATCGGCTTGCTCGAGCGCGTGGAGAACGGCCTCCTCCTCGTCGGTCTCCGACTCGGACGCGCCGTCGAAAAACCGATCCTCCGGCCGAACGACCGGGGTCTCGGATGACTCGTCGTCGTCGCTGCCGGCCTTGTGCTTGCGCTTGCCCTTCTTACCCTTGCTCTTGCCCTTGCCCTTGCTCTTGTCCTTGGACTTGCTCTTCTTGGTGACGTTGAGCATGGCGTACGACGGGCCGACCGCGTCCTTGTGGTCGGCCGACAGAATGCGGATAGTGTACTGGACCTTTCCGCGCGGCTTGTCCTTCTTGCCCTTCTTGTTCACCAGCGAGTTCCACTTGCGGTCCCGGCTCGGATCGCGGTACTTGTCGTCGTCGAGATCGTCGACAACCAGCATGCCGAGAAAGTTGTCCTTGGAAAAGGCGTCCTTGTCCATGACGTTCATGGTCAGACTCTTGACCTTTGACTTTGCCTCAAACCGAAAGCGAGCGTTCCAATCAGGATGAATGGTAGCCTTGATGACCTGCGACTGTTCCGACTTCTTGCCGTACTTGACCGTCACATAACCATCGGTCTTGCCTCTCCCTTCTGTGGCCATCAGATTCCGAGCACAGTACACATCGACGACCACCATCTCGCCCTTGTTCGACTTGTCCTTCTTCTTGCCCATTGCGTAGTTTTTTTCTTTTCCGACTCACTTCACTGGCTTGACTCTCTGCCTTGACCTTGGCTCTGGTCTTGGCTATGGGCTTGGGCTTGGCTTTGCTCGGACTCGACTGCCGTGTCACTCTACTTCCGACTGGGTGGGGAAGGAGATAGAGGGGGGGGGGGGTGAAGGGGGAGGAGGGGGGGGGGGGGGGTACACACGCAGGTACTCTTGCTACTTTGCCGGGGATGTGCAACTCGATGCTTCTTGCAAAGGTAAGGTGCCTGTGAGGTGTTGCACTGCGCTACTGAAGCGGCTGCAGGGGTTGGCGGCAGCGGTCCAACGGCCGACTGACCGAGCGAACGACCGAACGAACGAACGAACGAACGAACGAACGAACGAACGAACGAACGAACGAACGAACGAACGAACGAACGAACGTTTAGCCCTTTACGGCACGGAATGGACAATTTTGTCCATCGCAAGCTGCGCTCCGCGACGCGCCACAGACGTCGCAACGTCCATCAATCGCGGTTAAAGAGCAGTACAATGTGTTGATCGCTGCTGTGGTCACTGGTGGGCCACAACAGAAAACAGTCGGCGATGCAGAGATGAACGCCGCTCTCCCGTCCGGCCGCTGTATTCATCTCTGTCATACTCTCCTTCCCCGGTCGTCGGGGTCGTCAAACGACAAGCTCGGCACCGTCCGCGCCCGCCGCTCCTCCGGATCGGCGCCGTACGGCACCTCGCGCGCCTCGCGCATGCTCCCAGGCGTCCGTCACCGCGGCGGCAACTCGGGCATCCTTCAGGCGGGCGATGAATGACCGAACGATTAATCGTTTGCACGTACGAAACGAACAGCGGCCGTCTCAACCATCACCTTGACCACCCTCATCACCACCATCATCACCACCATCACCCTCATCATTACCACCACCACCACGATCGCCATCCCCCCCCATCCCCCCCCATCCCCCCCCACTCCCCCCCCATCTCCCTCCCAAT